TGAACTTTATGTTGTTTCTTTCATACTGCTTCTTCAAGTCACACGGCCATTTTGACTTCTGACCCTTCTTATTCTATTTCCTTTCACTTTTAGCTCAGATTCAACCACCAATTCATTAACTCTTAAAATGGAGAGGATAAGACCTGAGAAATAACAGGAAAAACCAATTCCAGCTCTGCTGACCTGGGGCCGGACAATCATTTCAGCCTGTCAGGTGAAGTGGTTACCTTGTACACATCATGATGATCAAGAATGTGGTCAAAACTCTTATAGATGTCATTTAGCATGTCCACCACTTCCATGGGGGTGCTGTATTTGCAGATAGTGGTGAAACCTACAATGTCACTAAAGTAGATTGTAACTTCCTCATATAGTTCAGGCTCCACAAAGCCTTTCTCCTTTAGAGACTTTACCACTAGCCTAGATGGAAAGAAAAAAAAAAATGTGTTCAACTTTGGTAAGTTTTTTCTTCTCATACATAAATCTTTGAGACAGTAATCATTGTCTAGCAAGAATTCTAGACACTGGATTTTCAGTGAACTGGCTGGTTAGGAAGGAAAGATAAGTTGTATATACCATATATATGAGCATATTATTATATATATGTACTTGAACTTAGATAAATATAAGCAGGTTCAACATTAACTTAGAACTTGACTATTGACCCTAATACACAATGTACATGTAACTCTAATACCTACATAACCATGATGCATATACACACTTGCCCACTTTTTACCTCTCTATTCACAGTCAGCTTCTTGTAGATGAAGTTCTATATCCAGAAGTTGAGAAGGAGAGTGTGTCATTAATGTAAGAGCTTGAATCTCTATAGCTATCAGATCTGACTTTCTCATCAGAGTCAATAGTTTTACCTCCCTGGCATATTCAATGTGGTATTGTTTAATATCACTTTGAATTAATATGCATTTTAAAATTAATTTTGATATATTCTGGACCAGAATTTATTTGACATATTTTGAACCAGAATCAGGTCCTTTAAAAAGCAAAGTCAATTGCCATGTAAACAAGTTAAAATATGCTAAAACTGAAGAATTCAAATAGAAGCAATTTAAAATATCTCTGTCGAAGAGATATAAAGAGCAGTATATCAAATTCAGAATTAAGAGAGAAGAACCACAAGAAGGCACTCCGAACTCCTTTATGTGCTCAGTTGCCTTTTCATTGGCCCGTTTTGGGGTGGGGGCTGACATGAGACTGCATGCTCCCTATTTGCCCTTGGGATCACTTTGTAAAGGATCTGAGTATGGTGCCACTAGAATCAGAACCCAGAAGCTGGGAGGTGCCATAGAGGTCATTGAAAATAAATCCCTAATTTTTACAGATGAGAAAGCTAAGGTTTAAAAAGAAAGCATGACTTTCACAAGGTCTCACAGCCACTAAGAGCAGAGCTAGTCCTAGAACTCAGCACGTTCCACTCTTTAGGCTTTTTATTGCACCATAGACCCCCACAACCCAGGGCTTGCATAGAGAGGATGATGGGGAGGATCTGGAGTTGTGATGACTGTGGGAAAGAAAAAAATGTCTAGCACTCTCCCAGAAAACAGCCCATCAACCATGAAAATTCACAATATTCATTTAGAGAACCTTCAGAGTATCAAGGGAAAAAATCTTTTCAACCGGCGCAGTGATGGAACTCAGGACCTTTGAAAAACACCTTTTTGATATAGCTGTTTGGATTGCCAGGGGCACTTCTGGGGTGGTAGTTCTTGACATGTCTAGGATAAGGGTAGAGATTATTTTGGAGGCTACTGAGGGCATTATTGGTTAAAACCACTGATGATGGCACCCTGGGAAAGCAGCCAGATAATCAGATTATTATTTTTGTCACGAGTCGGCATTAAAGGTCAGGCAAGGAATTATGCATTATGTAACTAACATTTATGGAGTGCTGACAGAAATTGCTTAATAGTGTTGCAGCCTATTCTAAGGATACCATTTGTGGCCTGTTTCTAGGCTCTCCGAGGGCATGTTGGTTCTATATTAGGCTCTCTTGAGGCCCAGAAATGAAGAAGAGAAACTATTTCTTTAGAAAACACAATCTCAAAATCATTCCTTTACTAATGTAGAGGTGATATTCTAAATTAAGTATGGGTTCAAAATAAAATAATAACCAATACAAATTATATACAAAAGTCATAGCTACTGTGTATAATAAGAATGACCATGGATGTGCTAAGCAAGTACCTTATATCCTCCACATTATGTCAGGGGGGGTCTTTAAGCCAGCCTGTGAAGTAGATAGGACACTGGAGCTTGGAGCATTTAAGTAACTTGCCCAAGATTACATATCCATAGCAGATGGTGGAACCATGATTTGAAGTCAGGCCTGGCTGACCTCAATTTCCATGATTTCATCCAATGCTAGACTGTCTGTCTAGCTTATCCTTAATCTAATAGGACAGTTTATTATACTTTAATGAGAAGAGACCATTACTTCTCTCTTGTGACAACTGTGGGCGGCTTGGTCTACGCCTATTTCCTAGCTCTTTATATTTTAATTTATTGTTTATCTTAACATTCCTTAGTTATTACTTCAGTACTGACACTTAACAAAACTTTAAACTGTTCGAGGATTTCAACCTTACTTCCTTTCTATTTCAACCTTATTTCTTTTCTCTTCTGTCATGGCTATTACATTGTTTCACAAATGGAGGTCAGCCTATACATGTCTCTGGGATCAGGCATCTGATGCCTGGCCTCACCTCCTCCACTAAAGATGCCTATATTTCTTGTAATTTGGCTTTTACTTTGAGGTAGGAAGAAGAAAGCAAAAATAATAATGATAATAATAATAACAATAATAGTAACACTTAGTTCCTGAAAGTGTCTTATAGCTCATAGACTCTGTAGGAAAACTTTAATTTCCATTTTGAGACTGAGGAGAGAGAGGTCCCAGACAATAAAAGTGGAACGGCGGTGTTGGAACTCAGGTCATACTAACTCCACAGTCCACATTTCTTTTGTTTTCAAATGACTCCTTGGACATTTGAAAATAACCTCTTTCTTCCGGGTATTTCGAATGCAAACCAGAAAAAGGATTAGCAAGGTATGTGCATTTTAAAACTCAGTCTGTTAAAGAATAGGCAAAAAGGAACAATCCCAAACAAATATAAAGAAAAACACTGGCTAGACAAATATGCTGAAGCTTTAAGCTTTAAGATATGAGGCATGGCTGTGGCCTCGTGGGAAACCACATCAGCAGGACAGCTTGCCTTACCTTGGGAGCAACATAAAGTTAAGTCTATCAGCTCTGTCCCTCTCTGCTTTGTACAGCTGTGTCCTTTCCTCCACCAGATGTTCCAGGTTTCGAGAATATAGCTGTAGACGTCGGATCAAGGTGTCCATATAACTTTCACTTTTTTGGTCATGAAAAAGGCTGTAATAGGTAATAGATAGTAATAGATAAGGCGCTCTTCCACATTGTTAAGAAAACATGAACCTTCATTAAGAACAATGGGCAATTGTGATAAACAGGTAATTAAAGAAAAAAATAAAAATGGCAGAAAACATTAGGAAAAAATTAATCTCAGGAAAGATCAAAGAAATAGAAATAGAAATAAGATTAATTAAAAAACCAAAAAACAAATGTTAGAACAATGACAATCATTGTAGGTAAGGAGGAAAAATATAGAGTACAACCTCTCTGGAGAGCAAGCTGACAAAATATGTCATAAGCTTTTAGAATAGACATACCAACAGTCCATCAACTCTACTTCTAAGAATTATTCTAAGAAAACAATCGTGAACGTGCTGAAAGTTAACTACAAAGAAAGTCACAGCATTCTTTACAACAGCAAATACTTGAAAATAACCTAAATACATAACAAAAAAATAGTTAAAATATTATGATACAATGGAATATTGATGTACCATTAAATATGAATTAGAATAGTTAAACACATAGAAGGACACTACTTCTATATCACTCAGTGAAAAAAGTCAGTTCACAAAACAGCAAAAATTATAATCTCTTTTAAAATTTTTGAACACTGGTGGTCATCTACTGAAAAACAGGTGATGTTTTAACTGCATTTGCTTATCCATTTTCCAAAATTTTAATAATAAATGATTTGCAATAAAAGGAAAACTGTAAAAAAAAAAAAGCTCTGAAGGCAATAAATGGAAATATAAGCGCAGGACCAAGAAAAGCAAAGCAAAGCCTTATATTATCTCCTCAGAGTGGAGGGAAAAACCTAACTCTGGATTATTTGGTTAGACCAAGGAGACAGTTGAGATGCCAGCTTTCTGTGACACTGGGGCATCTTGGTGCAGAGCTGTGCAGAGGCACACTGAGTTCCTGTAGAGCTGTAGTGATGATCAGAGATAATGTTCATAAGATATACAGCATAACTGAAGGGGCCGAACAAATCATACCATTTCATTATTACGATAACAATTATAAGTTACTGTTTTTTCCACTCAAGAAGATGGCCTTCATCATAATCTCCTGGGGTGAGGAGGGGTGTTTATTAAAAATTCAATACATTTCTGAGTCCTATTGCAGACCTATATGACTGAAAACTGCTAGGTTTGGAATCAAGAAACAGAATTTTTTCACGAGTTCACCAGGGGATTCTTGAAACCACTAGTATAGAGTCTAGTTGGTAGAAAGGGCAAGAGAACAGGTATAAGGGATGAAGATGGGTTATCTTACTCCATGATGAACTGATTCAATTAAAACATTTTCTTCAACTTTGGCTGCATATTTTCATCATGTAAGGAGCTATTAAAACTTCTGATGCCAGCCTGCTTCCCAGGTCAACTACATCAGACTTTCTAGGGTAAAAGATCAGGGGTCCAGTTTATCTTCGTGAGTTTACATTTCATCTGTCACACATGCAACCTCATCTGCTCTTAGTAACAGGTTTGCGAAGGAATAAAAATGGCCAAGGATTAAATTTCTTATTATTTCCTGCTCCTTTCCCCAGATGACAGTTTATTTCCACCAAATCGATGGCCGCGCTTTCATTAACTTCACTCTACCTCATCTCCAGCCCTAGGCTTTTGGCCTCGTTAAGTATCTGAGTGACTTAATGAGAACTACAGAAAGTTAGAGCTGGAAGGAATTGCAGAAATAATCTTATTCAGTCCAATTTCAGTAACAAGAAAATTGACCTGCCATGAGGGTAAGTACTTTGTCCAATGTCCCACAGTAAGCTATTATTAGATCCTAGTCTAGAAACTGGATCTCCTAACTCTTACTCCAGGGTTATTTTTCTCGCTCTGTGCTATATCTAACAGAAAACATGAGGAATCTAGAATTCAATCTTAATGAATAATTGTATTACTTTTTTTTTGATCCCAAATTATAATCTGATTCATAACTCAAGTCTTAAGTGCCTATGGCCAAAGTTGCTGACTTTTTTAAGATTTGAAAATTTTAAGAAATTTCATGATCTTAAGAATTATGCAGGCACTTTACAGATTCCCAGGACCCATACTAGATTTCTAAATCCTAATTACCTGCAGAAGTATCAGGGGATTATTTTTAACAGACATATCTATGATTAGTACGTAGTTTTTAGAAATCATACATATCTATGATTAGTATGTAGTTTTAGTATGTAGTTTTTAATCAGGTAAGTTTTTCCCTTGAGTATTTAATTTTTCAAGTGATTATTTCCCTGAGAAAATGGTCTGTTAGTCTTCATATATTAATTTTTTTGAGACAGGTGTTACGGTCTAGAGTTTTTCATTAGAATAGGCATTTTCACTCTTAAGTGCCACTGAATGTCAACTATTATTAGAAAAATCTGAAATCATGAGAAAAGTAAAAATTTCAGCAATACCCAAATATCTTGCCTAGCGTAGTCTCAATTTTCTTGAAATCTGGTCTCTTTTCCGGATCTTCTTCCCAGCAGTGTTTTACAAGTAGATATACCTGGAGAAAGAAGGATGGATTAACTCAGGGGGTGGTATCCTATTTTCTTCCATGATGGGAGTAATTGAGGCAGAAAATATTTTTAAAACATCTCAACACTGACAATAAGGATGAGACATTACCTGCAGTGTGTCTCAGGCATTGCCACCTGCACCGCCTTGCCTAAGCCCTTCCCGTGGGCCCTGAATTAATGAAAAAGGTAATACTGATTTGGCTGAGTCTGGATTGATGGGAGAGACAAAATGCTTTACAGGTATTTGCAGGGAGTATGTTGGGGAGAGCAAGAAATAGTTGGGTTCAGTGAGTATGAACAGTGACTGTAAATGAGAGTGAGGCACTTGGGCAGTGGCTTTTAACCATGACCACCAGGGGAATCGCCTGGGGAGTGTTTACAAAAGTCCTTTTGCATAGGCCCCACCCAAGATTCTGATTTAATTGGCTTGTGAAGGGGCCTTCGTAGAGTTCTCAGATTTCGCAAATAAAAATATAAGACAAACCTGAATTTCAAATAAACAATGAATAATTTCTTTAGTGTAAGTATTTCTCAAATACTGTATGGGCAAAAGACATTATATATAATAATTATTATATATTAATATGTAATTTTATTATAGCACATCATATAATATGTAATTAGATATCATAAAATAATATAACATAATAATTTAATTATAAAATAATAAATATATAATTATATAAAAGAATGATAGTTATAGAATTATTTGATATATTCTATACTATTATGATATATATATTATAACATATATTACATATTCTTATTATAGATATATGAGAAGTGAGGAAAGAGAGGTTCAAAGCAAGGAGGGGCCACAAGGAAGCCCACGGAAACATCATCTCATCTGCTACCACTTGCTTGCAGCATGGTGAAAACTATTTGATTTATATAAAATTTGGCTTCACCCTGGCCCAAAATAGGATCACAGGTGCTACTAGCTGCAGTCCCCGCCTGTGTTCTTTGCGTTAACAAGTCCCTGGGGAGGGACTAGACACCTGGGCTGCTTGCCTGTACTCATCACTGGATGATGCCCCTGCCTTGGTACGTGGTCTGACGGCGGCCTCAGAGAACAATGCGCAGACGCAACCGGCAAATGGGCTGATACAGAACCACTGAATGAAATAGCGGGTGCTTTTGTGACATTTTCAACTCATCTAATTTCAGGCCTGTATTCTATTGGAACCAGCTACCAGATATGCAGTCTTATTGTTGACTTCCAATTCCAGAACCATCCAACTACACAAGTGAATTGAGGAGGAGGACGCTTTGGTGAGAAGGTTTTAGGCAACATGCAGATATACTTAGACTAAAAGGAGTATTTGAGAAGGGATAGGCTGATGTGTGGGGGGAATCCCAGGATCAAGAAAAGCCGGAGGGTGGGGGGAGGGGAGAGAGGGAATGAGGAGAAGACAAGGACAGGAGCAGGGGCTACAACGTGCCTTTAATTTTTAAAAAGAGAGAGAAGAGGAGAGGTAAAAATGACCCAGTCACGCCCAGCTAGGCTGGCCACAAACCTCATCCGGAAGGGTGCTTGTAAATGGAAGGAAAATGTTTTCGTCTTTATCCCACAAGGAACAAACGTTTTTTTCTTAAGACCCTAAATATTTTTAAAGCAATTTACTATCTTTTGGGATTAGCAAAGCTCAGATAAAATTTTTAAAAAAATTTTAATTTTTATAGGCTGTAAAGGCCTTTGTGAGAGATTATAAAAAAGAAATTAAGCCAATGCAGAGAGAAAAACTCCATTTCCCTCAGAGAAAGAATAAAAGGAGTGAGAGTACACTTGCCTATTGTTTCTAGGTGTCAGCATATTTAGTTTTTAATTAGTAGGTACTATTTATAAGCCTAGTAAGTGAATCACATGGACATTTTGCTCTTTTAGTTCCTAAAAATTGAGAATGTGATATGTGCTTAAGGAACCAGCTCTTTCCTGAGTTGGGAAAGGTGGAAAATGACAAGGAGACAATGGCAGGCTGATAATGGCTCCCAAAGACATGTCTGTGTCCTAACCCCTGGCACTTGTGGGTGTTACCTTACTTGGAAAAAAAGGGTCTTTGCAGATATGGTTAAGTTAAGGATCTTGAGATGGGAGTTTATTCTGGATTATCTTGGTGGGCCTGAATGCAATCTTATATATCCTTATGTAGGAGGGAGGAAGAGGGAGATTAGACAGACAGAAGAGAAGAGAATGTGACAACAGAGGCAGAGATTGGAGTGTTGTGGACCGAAGCCAAGGAATGTCAGCCACCAGACACTTCTGGAAGAAACTAAAAATAGACTCTCCCGTAGAGCCTCTGGAGGGAGTGCAACCTTGCTGACAACTCATTTCAGACTTCTGGCTCTAGAACTGTAAGTGAGTAAATCTCTGTTATTTTAATCCACCAAGTTTGTGGTAATTTGTTACAGCAGCCCAAGGAAACTCACTTCCAGCTCTTTTTCCTCTGCTGTTTCCAGGAACAGATCTGGGCGGAAGGGTTTCATTCCGTTGGAATTCTCCACTCTGAAAATCTTCTCTGATGGGATGAGAATGATTGGAATTACAAGAAAGAATGCAGCATGAAGAAATTTTAGCAGCAGCCGGACTCTGAATTGGTCCACTGGCCCTGGATGGGTGCCCGGTGAGACTGTTGCAGAGCCTCAGCCAGCGCTGCATAGATGGATGCTGAATAAATGAGTCAGCCACCAGGTTAAAGGGTCTCATGCCCACTTATGTGCAGGAGGCTACCTTAAGTTAAGGCTACTAACCCTGTAAAACTCAGCGACCACTGCCTTAGTAGGCTTCCTCTCACCAAGACTTTGGCCCACTCTCCCTACATCCCTTAGTCACCCCCTCCTCCCAGACAGTTAAGAGCTGGCACAAGTATGTGCTCAGTAAGCCAGGACTGAATGAATGGAATGAAACATTTCCCCACCCCCACCCCCTGAGGACATGTGACAAAACCTATAGATTTTAGTAAGAACTAAAATATGTATGTTGTCCCACTTGAATAATCTAGTTCAGGTGTTAAATTGACACATGACTGTTTGGAATCAGAAGGAAAGAAGGAAAGTTGAAGAGAAGATTCTTTAACAATAATACTGACAATAGTGACACCTGGCAGTGGTATATTATCTTATGCTTTTCAGAACACTCTTAACATTCATATTGTCATTTAATCCTTCCAAAAGCCCTGTGAAATGTGTAATGCAGACTTGCCATTACTTTTGCAGATGAGGGACAGAGATGTGGTTACACAGCTCAGGGTCTCCATCAGCCTAGACTGCAGGTCGGCCGGCTCCCAGAGTGGGAGAGAAAAGGGGTCAGACTCTTACCATTCTGGTCCCGGCAGCTCAACGTATAGAAGGTTTCTCTCCGCAGGATGATCTCCTGTGCGATGATCCCGTAGCTGTACACGTCTCCTTTCTGAGAGACGCTGGCTTGGCGGAGGTGCTCGGGGGCTGTCCACAGGTCTGTGCATTCAGTGTGGAGATTGTAAAGTTAAGGGTGTCAGCAGCCCACAGGTCTCCAGCCTGCTTTTGTTCTTTAAGTCCCTACACCATGCACCCTGAATAGGAATGGCCTTGAATTTATATGGTTGGTCTCAGACTTTTGAGGAATTTATGCTAATAATGGTAATAAAAGGTAGAACACACACTTACCTGCAAGCTGACTGTGAAGGATCTGGGTGAGGTCATAGGGCAATGTCTTTCCTGAAACTGCTCAGATCATAGTTCTGAACACCCTCAGGGTCTACCTAGAATAGCGCCTGCTACATAGAAAGTGCTCGTAAAGGTTTGTGGGATGAATGTGGTATGAGAGGCCGAGGCTTATGGGACATATGGCATAAACCTATGAAAGCCTTTATAAATATTAAAACTAGTCACAAATTTTATATAATATAAAACATTTGTAGATTTTTATGTAATACAAAACATTATATATATATGTTTACTAAAGGAAAATAAAGACAGCACATTTAAACAAAAATATTATCGCTAATATTTTTCAGCCTCCAAGTCAGCTATTGTCCACAGATGTGTTTTCTTTGGTTTCCACAATATTCTTTAAAAAGCAATGCATACAATTTACTCATATTTTACTACTGTGCCTGCTACTCTCTATTGTTTTCCAGCGAGTTCACTTCACACAAGTGAAGTGCTTCTGTGTTCTGTGTTTGGCTCTTGTAGACACTGGGGTTTTAGACCCATCACATATTTTATTTAATAGTAACAGGGGCACACAGTCGATTTTCCTCCAACATCCCTCGAAAGTTTTCCAGGACCACCCAGCTCCTTGTGAACTTTTTGAGGTTTCTTCAGCAGTTTCAATGAAAAAAAAAAAAAAATCTGCAGATTCATGCTGTCAGGTACAATGATAGGCTTATGCTGAGGAACAGTTTCCTCATTTGATTTTTCATCCAAATTCACTGCCTTGTAAAAAATTTTTTTCTAATTACAGTTGACATACAATATTATATTCATTTCAGGTGTAAAACACTGTGATTAGGCATTTATATACCTAACAAAATGATCACCCAATAAATCTAGTACCCATTGACACCATACATAGTTATTACAATATTATTGACTATCTTCTCTATGCTGTACTTTACAAAAATTTGGAATGCCTCACAAATTTGCATGTCATTCTTGCCCAGGGGCCACGCTAATCTTCTCTGTATGGTTCCAGTTTTAGTATGTGTGCTGCCAAAGTGAGTGCTCATTGCCTTTTTGAATTTATGTCTTATGAATTTATGTGACTTGTGATTCATGTACAATTGATCCTAATGGTTTGAGGTTATAGAAAAGATAGATAGATCTACTTATGCTAAAATTTCAGGTAACTGATGGCACAGGTAAATATAACTCAGTAATATTCAGGAGGATAGGATTTGACCTGAAATTCATCTGATTTTGTGTTATGGTGAATCATTTAATGAAGGAGGTTTGTTCCACTACATGATGAACTATGCCTGGCACATAGTAGGTATTCAACAAGCATTTACTGGATTGAGTCCAATGTCTAGCTAGCATGCTTATGTGATTGAAGAAGCAAGGGCAGAATTATACTTTTTTTTTTTTTTAATTAAGGAAAACTTAAGGATTGCTAAATAGAACTAAAAACAAAATTTACTGTTTGGATCTAGGTGGTATCTTAAGGCATATATGAATGCTAGATTTTTGAGGCTGTTTAACTCTGAGTTATAGTACAGAATGGGTAAACGTTCAACAAGAAAAGTTCTTTATACTTTACAAATCACTTTTCTTTGTGTTACTTTTTTGACCCTTATCACAATCCTAAAAGAGATAATTGTATATTTTTCTAATAAGAGTTTTTTCTTATTGTTATCATTTCTTATCATTATCACAGATGAAGGATGTCTAGGATTTGGAAATGAGTCTTCTGCTTTGTACTCTATTTTCTTGGGCAAACCTCTTCACCTCTTTGAACCTCAGTTCTGTCTTTTAGAGAGGAAGAGGGTTAGATGAGATGATTTCCAAGGTTTCTTACGGATCTAACTTTCTCTACATTTTCACCCAGTTCTGCTTCCATAAGCTAATACGTTCTTCACGATTTCTCACTGATATCAAGGGATACCATTCATAGATGAAGGAAATCCACAGAGAATATTTGTTCAACTCAGGAAGCACTTGCTGAAAACTGACAAGGGTGAAGTGCTGGAGAATGAGCCAGCTGTTGCCTCTTGTGGCTCCAAGTGTGAATTTTCTGATCAGTATCACTATTTTCTGAACACTTTATGTGGGCCTGTGGGCTTGTGAAAATTAAAAAAAAAAAAAGAAAGAATAAAGGTAAACTGGTAAAAATCTTATTGATCACATACCTTTTTTTGGAGGTAAAATGGAATTGCAGCCAAAATCAGTGATCTTCACCACCATTCTACTGTCCACCACACAGTTGGTGGATTTCAGACGGCCATGGACTTCTGTCTTACTGGAGTGTAGATATGACATCCCCTGTAATTTTTCAGATGACAAGAAAACAAAGAGATAAGACACTCTGCTGCTGCTTGATTATTTTAAAGAAAGAAATGACATTTTGAATCATTTCAAATATATATATATATATATACACACATATAACTACTTAATAATATCCAATATATATATATTATATATATATATATACACACACACATACACACACACACATATAACTACTTAATATATTATATTATATTATATATAACCGGTTAAGTAGTTATATATAATATAACTACTGCTACCTCAATCCAAAAACATGCATAATGAGGCCTTGCCTTTTTGAAGGGAGGGGCTAGGCTAGATTAGTTCCTAAAATTTGATGGTTTTCTTTCTACTTTGAAAGGGGAAGCATGTTTTTGGCTGGTGTGCTTCCCTCCGGTGGCCAGAGGTGTCATTGCAGAAACTGGTTTTCAGTCTGACTCACAGGAGTGAAATGTAGCAAACAGGGTAACATGTGACATTTTTTAAACTGATTCTGACTCTATGTGACTTTCAGGTGATTTGAAACTGTATCAAATAGCTCACTCTCAGGATGAACTTTTCTTCATTCTTGAATGAGGCCCTGGTTACTGGTATACACTTTCTTTCTCATATCATGTCTGGGAATATACATGTCCAAATTTATTATTGCCTTATGCAAGATAGTTGGCCATCCTTGATATTTTTCTCTTGTAAAATTGCAGATTCACTTATTTTCCATGTAGATTTTATGATTTTGATTTCCAGCAAGTCTGTAAATATGTATGCTTCAAACCCAGAGTAGAAAGAACATAATAAGAATAATAGGAGCCAATATATATATTTTGAACATTTACTTCTACTAGCCCTTATGCAAAGCATATGTATTATTTCATAAAATACAACAACCATATGACATAGGTACTCTTTTTATTATTATTTTACAGATGAAGAAACCAATGCACGGAGAAACTGAATAGCTTGCTGGATTTGTGTTCCTATATTTAATTTTCGCAACTGTCTTTTGTGTTTGTAGGGCTCTTACCTTAGCAATGTCATATAAGACAGAGATCTTAAACTCCCAATCCATGAAAGTACCATCAGGGTAGGAAATTGTGTCATTTAAAACTTCCTGAACAGGAGAAAAAGGAAAGGGAGAAAATGAGTTGTCGCAAGGAGGGATATCATGGAGAGACTATTATAGGCAAACAATGATCTTCTAATCATGAGGCCCTGGACAGAAGGAACAAACTGGAACTCCACTGTCCTGGGTTTCCTGAACATATATTTTTCTCTCCTACTTTAGAAACATTAGGTGGCTTTCAGTACAAGGAGGTGAGAATGAGATACCCATACTATCCCAAGTACCAGTTCTTCCACATGGCAGGGGTGAAGGAATTAGCAGACACATGCCTGGAGAGTGGCTGGTGAGCCTGATTCACAAGTCACTGGATTGCAGGTCTTGTCTCATCAAACTTACACTAGTGTTTTTAAACAAGGAATTGCTGTTAGGAAATTCATTCATTAGGCTTATGTTTTTACTGACATGATCAATTGCATCTATTGGCTTTATAGTTCTAAGTCCTCTGTCAATAAGACGCAGTTCCTGGATTTGTGTGAATTGTACGACCTAGAATTTTGAATTCACTGTATTAACATGGTGATGATGCTAACAAGATAAAGGGACCTAATTAAGCTAATAACTGTTTTTCGTAGTAAGCTTGAATAACTTAACAATAGTTTCTTGTTTTGGAAAAAGCCCAATTTGACCTTTAGTTTTAACTCAGGCACTATACCAATAATTTTTGACAAAGGGTCCAAAGTCATAATTCATTTCAGATAAGGCTGGTTGGCATGTAGGTACCAGGCCAAGTTAAGGGAAGGGAGTTATGAGCAGACAGACTCTAAAGTAATTCTTTCTCTTAGCACCTGCCATATTTTATATTTTTTGTTTATTTGTTTACAATCACTTCTTCCCATGAAATTGTAAACTCTGTGAAAATTTTTGTTCACTGTAGTCTCTGCAAGATTTTGTTCAGTTTTTGGCATGGAATAGATGTTTAATAAATATTTGTCTCACAAATGAATCAATTGTTCTCAAACAAGGTTAGCTGAGGTTATTGTATATTTAGGAGGTGGGAAGCACACTGTCTTTAGCCCATCTAGAGAGAAACTTTCTCATTTGTTTCCCCACAAAAGTAGGTTCTGATGGGATTTGCCATGGGTTGAAGCGTAAAGGGATGACACAGGGAAGGAACTGCCATTTTTCTTGGTACAGACTTTGCCTTGAGATTTATGATACAAAGGCTTGGTTTCCTGTGTAGAAGCTTCTGTTGTCTGTGCCCAGTGTGAATAAGCAATGCCGGAAGGGGACCCAGGACCACTCAGATAACTAAAGTTTCTGAGAGTAGAGAGACAAAAATAACTATGGGTATGATATTTAAATGTTGACTTGGTATTTTAGGGAATAAAAGATCCTGTGAAATCCTTTGACCAGGCTGTGTTAATTCTAAAATTGCTGTCTCACTGAAATTAAATGAATCAGAGTATATGGTATAGCCCTCATATTATTGTTTTTATTACAAATATTTTATTTAAATGATAACATTTTAATTTAAATGATCATTTTAAGCATCAATTAAAATGATCACATGGTCTTTCTCATAGGACCTTTGGAGATGATACATTAGGGTAATATTTTTTCCATTCATAGAATTAACCATATCTTATTGTACTTTGCTCCTTATATACAACTGGCTTAGAATCACCAGTATTTTATTTATAATTTTTCTATCAATATTGATATATATAGTTGGTCTTTAATTATATTTTACTATTAACTTTATGCTAGCTTTGTTGAATGGTACATGAATTTACATCTTCATGTTTTTGCTTAACTTTAGATCAGTATTTATATAAACACTGAGAATTATCCATTGAAGTTTGGAATTAAGGCAAACCTGATATTCTTTTTAATAGCAATTATAATATCTTCTATTGTTATTGGCTTACTTTACTTTTTACTTTTTGAGTAAAATTTTCATGATTATTTTGCTTCTGCAAATTTTCCTTTTTAAATTTTAATTTTAACAATCATAAAATATTCTTTTATAATGCAAAGCATCATTTTCATAGTTTTATTCCCATTTTTGTGTATTTTTATGTTGGCTTTAAAATTTTTATTAGAAGTATGAGAGGCTTATATGTTTTATAATTTTTTTAAAAATAAACAACTCATGAGTGCATTTTAAAATTCTACCTGTTTTATGTTTGAATTTAGAAGGCTTTCTTTCCTTAGGCGATAGTTATTCTTCTAAATTTTGTATTACATACTTAGATTATTTTATTTTTTAAAAAAGAGAGAGTAGCATTTAGGGCTATGATTTCTTAATTTGAGGATAGATTTGAGTTTAGGCCATACATTTTGAAAGCTAGTATTCTTTTGTTGTTGTTATTGTTGAAGCTTATTGAAAATTAAAAATTTCTAGGTGATTAGTTTAAATTTTAAAAATTATTTTTAAATTTTATTGAATTATGAATATTTGGACCTCTTTAAAGCTGCTGCTGCCCTCAAATCTTGGGATTCTGGCTTTGTTCTGGGAAAGGATATTGAGGTTATTAAGAAATCCTGGGTCTGAAAATAGCAGGGTGACCACACATCCTGGTTTGCTTGAGGCCAGTGCAGTTTATGTCTGCTGTTCCAACATAATTATTGTAGTAGCCCTTTTCACTCTCAAAGTATTCTGATAAATTATATGCTCACCTACCTAAAGATTATTAAAAGCTGAAAGTCATAATACATGCTCATCAACAGCTCAAGGTGAGGTTCAAATAGTTCAATGCTCCTTGAAGCAACTGTCCTGAATTCCTCCCTTCTCCCACCCGTTTCCCATTCAGTCCTGTTTCTGTTTCACACCTGACTTTGTTTCTTGTAAATAATTGCTTCTTCTATATTCCTGCCCTTCTGAACTATTTAATGATTAAATAGTCCTAGCTTGATGTTTGGTTCTTCCCAAGAACTTGACTTAGTCTTGTCTTCCTTTCTCTTTCTGCTTTAGACTTGCTCAGTCCTGACCCCATCTGGCAACACCGGGACCATTCTCAATCCCTCACAAAGGAAAAGGCGGTAGGAATTTAGACAGTAGCAGAACCAGGACTTAAGAACAAGTCTCCTAATGCTTATTTGGTGCTATCATAATGACCATCCATTTTTCTTTGATTACAAAAGCAAGCGTGCAAGTACAGTAAAATGAATTTAGGGCTAATCAGTCACTTTTCCACATCTGTTCTCTGTTTTGCAAACCTGTACTTCGGATTTTTTTTTTTGTATAGGTATAATAAGACCGTTTGACAAAATCTGAGTGATCTAGTTTGGTAACACCAACTTTTCCTGATAACTTTCTGATATTATTTCACTGAATAAACATATAAAATTCTTATTAGATTTTTTTTTTCCCCCTATGGTTGACCAGTTAGGAAATTGAAAATGATCACGGTTCTTACCCGCAGGGATCCTCTCTCACAGTATTCTATCACCCCAAAGATCATGGAATCAAGCTTCACCGTCCCGTAGAACTTGGTTAAGTTGTAATAGTCAATCTGAAGCAACTAAAATAACATGTCTTTTTACAAAGCAAGTCATCCAGAAAGGTGCACCAGAGTAAAAATTAATATGCTAATTAAACATGCCATGTTTCAGACCTTTGGGAAGAGGTGTTGCTCTTTATACATTGGAATGTCAGTATATTTCTTATTACACATTGCATTGTATATTACTAAACAGTCTTTCTTTTATCAACAAGGGGACTTAAATACAAACTTTCGACTATTCTCAAATAATATCAGGACCATTTTGTAGGACATGCTAGTAGATTTCCAACATGTTTTGCACCATCAGACATCACTTTTCAACATCTGTTGGTAGAATTTCCAGTATGAAGTATAGTCACCCATTTCTTGGCCTGAGGGCTCCTCTGTCAGCATCTCCCATAATTCCTTGCTCAATCAGGTATCTCTTTGCTTAGGAAAAATGGAGTGAAGCTATTTCTCACTTAAGGGTTTCAAGCAAGAGATACATACCTTGTTCAATTCTATCTTCTGTTTCTCAGTGAAATTGCCATCATTGTGCTTGAGATCCTTTAGAATCACTCTCTGCAAAGATCGATTGATTAAGAAGATAATGTTGTAGCATTAATACTTATATGCATATTTTAATAGTTTGTTTATGTGTCTATCTTCCCACTATACTACTTTGTTGACACTACTTTGTTGATGCACCTGGGATATGAGAGACTCAAGTTTGAACGTTTCTTTAAGAATGACTAAATGGAAGGAAGGAAGGAAGGAAGGAAGGAAGGAAGGAAGGAAGGAAGGAAGAAGAAGGAGAAGAAGGAGGAGAAGAAGGAGAAGAAGGAGGAGTAGGAGGAAGAGGAAGGAAGGAAGGAAGGAGGGAAGGAAGGAAGGAAGGAAGGAAGGAAGGAAGGAAGGAAGAAAGGAAGGAAGGAAGGAAGGAAGATACAAATCCCCCATGTGGAATTGTCATATTCCTACTGCAGTGAGTCAAAACATATTACTAGGGCTGCCTGGACTTCTCTGAATCTCTTTTATTTTTACTTTTGCTTCCTATACTCCACCCCTCTCAAAAGTTTTGTGTCCTTTAATTTTCCCAAGATTATGAGTTTTGTAATCCTTGAAGCAGAGCCCTGTCCATCCCCGTGAAAGGCTCCAAGAACCGCCTCTGGGAGCAACCTGGGCACCTACTCCACCTTTGCATTGCCAACATCAGAAGTGGGTAACAATGAATCAGAAGGCCCAGAACATACCCCTAAGTGAGATTTCAGAGGAGCAGAGGAGAATATAGTCACCTTTTTGTCATATTTGCACTGTCGTAGTCTCTGAATTGTATCTCGTCTTTTGTCATCATCGATCTGGCACAAGAAAAACATAATTATTCCAGATGTTTCATATCTTGTTCCATCCACTGACAGTTAAAGGCTGAGAAGCTCTGTCAGGTGGGTTGTATCTGTTGTTCACCTACAGCATGGTGGGCATGCTTCCAGAAAAACTTACAATTGACTTGTGTTTCCCTCTTGCTACTTGCTTTCCCCTGTAACAATATCTTCTTTCTGAGTATCTACCACTCTCATGCTTAACTCTGGGTTTCCTTCCCTTCCTCTTGTAGTTCTACTTTTCCTCCCTTCTTCCAGGGATTTTCTTTGCTTCCTTCCCTACCTTACTGGGAATTACCAAAAGATAGACTTCATCCTGATACTTTCTTGAGACAAGTAGGTCTTTGTGAATAGTATTTCTATGTGTGAGATTCAGAATGCAACAGGAGAGTCACTTTAGAGCAGGGAGCATTTCTGGAAGGAAGGAAGACCTAGCCCAGGTACAGCCATGAGGGATCTGAGCCATCGGAGCAAAGCACACAGGACCCGGGGTAGAGAGCCGAAAGCTGGCAGGGAGTCTCCCAGGACAAACTTGGCCCACACAGCAGTTTTATCTTTGCTTATTTTAGGCAGGAAAGCATCTCAGGTCATGCTGTCCTCTCCTATTATCTTGGCCCCACTAATTCCTTCATGTGGAGGTCCTGGGAGCTTCATCTCCTCTTAGTATACTTTGGTATAAAAACTTTGATAAGGACATGGTGTATGATAGATGCTAAAATCTTAGGCTTTATATTTAAACTGGGTTCAAATTATGGCCATGTTCCTGAAATTCTAGACTTGTCATCCATAGCGCTTGGGGGAAGATGGAAGAGCTTAATATATCTGGCATATAAGAAGTGTTCTGTAAGTGTTAACTCTTATTATTTGCAGTAATTGTTCTCACTAGCTATATGTGATCCTGCACTATTTCTTATCCCTTTGTCCTTCAGTCTTCTCATCAGCACAGTTATTATGATAAAAGTCAACTCGTGACTCCCTTGTGAGGAGCAGACAAGACAACAAAGTCCAGCACTGACTAAGGCAAATGAAAGTGAGTTGCTATTATTGGCTGAGGGAGAGAATGTGGGCAAATATCAGAGAGGCTTCTTCAGCGATGAATGAGGTAAGTCATATATCCTCAGTACGGGTAGATCAGTATCCAGGTTTAGGGGAACTCAAATGTCCTACCTAACCCTCCATCCCTTCCATGACAGAATCTCAATATGTACATTTCTCTTCTGAACCAGATGCGAAGAATGAGTAACACATCATATCTCAGCCTCCACTGAAGTGTTCATTGGATCAACTAGGTGACACAGCAATGAAGAATCAAGGGGAAGATAGGAAACTGAGACTTAGAAAACATCTAAGCCTTGGGTCTCTTCATGGCACATTTCCTACCATGCTACCAACGTCTTGTTAAATACCTGGCAACTTGCACCAGCTCTAGATAGAATTCTTCGACAGATAAGGTACGCCTTACCTTCAGGCTAATATGGTTAGTCTCATTGGTCTCCAGAGGAAAGATGTTTTCAGGAGGAATGTGGGACCATTTTTTCTGACGAAGTTCATTTTCTTTTTTATATTTTCTACGAAAGGAATAGAACCAGTCAATAGATTTTTATTAGTTTTCATGCCATTCAGCTACTGCACACTGGGAGAAATTTAGAACGCTGATATTCTCAGGTTGACATGTGGTGAGTAAGGCTAGCCTAACGGTGTAACTTTATGTTCTTCAATCTGATGAGTGCTGGCCATTAGTAGGCCTGTAAGGATTTCTAATGGCCCTTTATATTCTTTTTTATTTTCCTTTTTGTTTCATTTTCTTAGATCACTCACTAAGGTCATCAGAATAAAGGCCTTCACTATAATAAAGAATCTGAACTGATGACATGGAAAGAGAGGGGAAAAAGATGAGAGATAAAAATTTAAAACCAATAACTTTGAAAGGAAAAAACGTTAATTTTTAAACCACCAGAGAATATACCAGATTCCTAAATAAGGCAGTTCTTCTTATGCATCTGTGCCTTTAAAAAATATGTATAAAGAAAATACAAAAGCACAAAGGAACTGTAACAACATACATCCTAACATTAGAAATGTCAAAATTTTGTAATTATTTCCCCCAGATAGTATGGATAAAGTAGAATTCTTGGGATGCAGGAGATGCACACATTTGTGTTTACATATACTGCCAGATTGCTTCCCAAAGTACCTACCTGTCATCAGAATTCCTGTTTCCTCCATATTTAACAATATTTAGTATTGTTAAACATTTTTTTAACCATTATGAAGTATGTGAAATGACATTTAATTGTTGCTTTGCACTTTATTTTCTTCATTACTAAAGAGATTTTTTTCAAATATTTTCCAGCTATTTTATAGAATTATAAAATTATATAGTATTTTCTATTGATGATTTTGCCTGTTTTTTCAATCACATTGTCTTTTCCTTATTAACTCATGTGAGTTCCTTATATAGTCCGCAGAACAAATCTTGCCCTTTTACACGTTGCAAATATATTCTCGTTTGTTTACTCTAACTTTAGTGTATAGAAAGTTTTGATTTTATTATGGCCATTGTTCTATTTTTTTCTTTTATGACTTTTTTATCTTGACTGAGAAATACTTTCCTAAACTGAGATCATTAAATCATTTTCTATTAATTTCTTCCAAGTTTTGAAGTTTGATTTTCACATTTCGGCCCTTATCTATTTAAAACTCCATATGGAATGGACTCCATTTTTCTTACGGTTTCAGGTAGGATTTTAATTTTATTTTTTTTCACATCAAAAGCCCACTGCCCAACATCACTTTGCAAATGCTTTGTAATCTCACCTCTATTATATTCCAAGTTCTCATGCTTGCTTATGTCTGATTCTAGAATCCATATTTTTTCCCATTGATCTATTTGTATGTCCATTAGTTTGCCTTTTGTGGTCATTTGACAAACTGCTACTCACCTTCTCAAGGTAATTCATGATGCCTTTCTTAATGTCCCTTAAGCAGAAATGATTATTCTTTTCCTAGGCTTTCATTTAACATTAAGTAATTCTCTATTAAATACATATAAAATAGCACATTATCGACCAATAATATTGACCATAAGACCTGCAGGAAAGTAAAGCCTGAAGGCTCCCAAGATTTCACCTCTGTACCCCAGGAAACTCTTGGGACCCAATAGAGCTGACTGCCATTCATATTGAATTAGGGGATGTCATAAATCATTCACTGCTTTTCTTCTATAGGCTGTTGTCATGGAAAACTATAAAAGTAACATCTGTCTTCCATATCTCTTTGTGGACATACTATTGCTCTGGCTATTAGGAAGACCTATCTCTGTCTCCCATGTCTTCCATGGAAATGGAAAATGCCCATTTCCATCTGTTACTGCTTCTTACCTTGTAATCTACCCCTATCTTAAGCTGACACCCATTTGGACTTAGTTTCTAGGTTACATCAGTGACCCTACTGTTGACTGGTTTTGGTTTCTGCTCACCTTCAGCTAAATGGTCACCACATACTGCAGATCATCTGTATTTCTAAGCAACACTGAGTTACAGGAGTCTTCAGACTGAAGAAAGCAACCTACTTCCTTTTCTGGAGAAAACATCCACTGACATGCAACAGGCTAGAGTCTCATTATGAGAAAGTATAGTGACACGGACAAAAGCACGTGATATGTAGAGAGAATTATTGTCTGGTTTGGTTAGGAAATGAGTAATCCTGGTAATATAATAGGATGGAAAGTTCTATGTGTTTATCATACACAGATTAGGATGTAGTGTGGTAATTCATTTGTTCATTTATATCTTTGACAAATACTTCTGAGTATACACTGTTTCTGACATTGTGCTAGGCACTTCATATGTCCAAGGTGAGTAGAACAATCATGGAACCAACGGTTAGAAGGCCTGAGTTCTAGTTTTGATTCCACATACTACCTATGGATGTCATTCCAGACTAGTCATTTGTCTTTCTGGGTCTTTCTTTCCCCATGCTAATAGGAAGTTTGGAATGGATGATTTCTAAAGCCTCTTCTAGCCTGAACATTTTTTAAAATAGAGACTTTAAAATTTCTCACAATATATCAATAAGCAGCAAAAATAACTATTTCCACTTATAAAATACATATTATATGGTAGTCATTATACATATCTAATTTAAACTCCTTACAACAGTTCAGATGGTGATTATGAAGCCAAGTAACATGGTTAAGTTGCTAAGTAATATGCTTAAGACCACACAACTGGTAAGTCACAATACTGAGATCTGAGTTCAGGTGTCTCTAACTCCAAAGCTTTAATCTATCCACTCAATAATATTCTGCCCTTTATATTGTCTTTTATGCAGAATGCCTTCATGAGGTGTGTCTCGAGACCTCTTTGTGAGCATACATTATCATCAACAGACATTAGTCCCCTCCCTCTCTTCTTTCCTCCCTCTGAATGATGAGCACAGCAAAATAGAGGGGATGGTAGGTACCTCAGCACCAGGAAAGCAATGAACAGGAGCAGGATCATAATCCCTGTGAGAGTAAAGACTGCAATCATCAGAATGTGAGGTCCTGTCATAGAAAAGACAGTGAAAAATGCATCAGTAAGGATCTTTGAAAAGAGAATAAAAACATTTCAAAGATTCTAGTTGTGTAATGTAATTTGAGAAAGGGGAAAGAAAGAGCCCTTTTAAAAATCTTTAAAATTAAAATGTTGTAAATAAAAAGCCATTTATTTATCTCTTCGTTGACAATATAGGTCCTGTGTCCTTGGTCTCTGAAGAAAACTGTCTAGAATGTGCCCAGGAAAAGTGGTTTAATTTCGGCTATCCTTAGAGTTTACATATCTCGTTTCTTGCTTATGGGAATTGCCAAATGTTGTAAGACATAAAATAGCTTCCAGCACACAAATGATTTTGGTGGTGGAATCCTACCCGATGTCCATGAAACCAATATACCCAAGGAGAATTCAAAAAAGAAAGAGACAGTATTTTTTAATACAGAGCACAAATCAGAAGAAAAGTAAGTCAATGTTAGAATAAATTACAGTGTTGCCTGTTGGTCCTTTTCAGGCTCTACTGGGTCATTGCCGGAAGTCAATGAAGAATGCAAGTGATTTTATTTATTAAAACATTAGTATGTGGGTGCAATTGTGTAGATGGGGTAACCTGAGAGACTCACAGAAGAGTAAGTGGAATCCAGGAAAATGTGGATCCAACCCAAAGAAACATTGAAGCAATATCTAAGTATGCAGAATAATAAGCCCAGGTTGAGAAAGACAACAACAGTTATAAAACTGTATAAGAAACTCACGGTTCACTTAAGCCACAGTGGGCCTCTAACTAGGAAGTTAGTGGGTTCAAGAGGAAAAAAAATGAATGAATTCCAAGTAATAGACAGAGTGTGTAAGAAACTGGAAGATAATAGCAATATGTTGTTTCTTCTCATAGCAAAAATAAAGGAAACTCAATCACAAATTCTAGGGAAAAATGTTCAAGGAAGGCACAGTATAAAAATGAAACAAAATAAAATTTGGCTCGATTTTGAGAATTTGGAGTTTTTCCCCAAAGTTTATTTTTTTGGTGTGTGCTATACAAAGGGATGTTGGAGCTTATAGAAAGAAATGTTATCATGGCATGCTATTTAGCTTCATATAAACACTAATGGTAGTGAAAATGTTACTAATTTTCAACTTACAGGATCAATTTATAGATAAATGACAGAGAGCTTCATTATAGTTATCAAATAAATATTACTAGCCCTGACAAATTAAAAAAAAAATACAAGAGAATTTGGGAGCTGGGAAGGAGGTAAAAGGAAAGATAAGAACACTAACATCTTCATCTTATAAAGCTGGGAAGCAAGAAATTTCATATGTAGTTGATAGAACAATAGTAGAATCTCATGCATATTAAAATTACAAAGATACCCAATAAATGTATTAACAAAAAAGAGATAACTAAATCGAGAAGAGATTAGGGAAAAGTAGCATTAGTAAAGATGAACTAAATCTTCATTTAATAATACAAGAAAGAAACAGATAATATCTAAAGCTTATAAATCAAGAAACATACATATAGTATTTAGAAATATGCAAAGAACTAAAAGCAGAAGTGACTGAGAGACCAGGATGCACAGAGGCAGGACCAGGCACACTCACCTTCCATGATGAATATTTCCACTATTGGATTTTAAAATTACATGCATTGATTTTTCTTCACTAAATGTATAATTAACGAAGGTGCCTCTGAAGAGATGAGAGATGCCAGGACCTCCTGATTAAAGTTGCACCTCAACACCTAACACTATTCTCTCTCCTGGCACTGTAATGCAGACCCTTGAGGGCACGGTCCGTGTCCTTCTTGTTCACCCTGGTACCTTCAGCGCCTGACCTGGTCCTTGGTAATGTACCAATAAAAATGGATTGAATAAATAAAAACTTGGTCCTGCTCATCTTACTGTCTGAGAAGAGGCACGGAAAAAGTGCCCTACTGTTAAAATATGTAAATAAGTTCATATTAGAAAAAAACCTCTTGTGCCAGTAGATTTATCTCACACTTTACATATGTTTTAAAACTTTTTTTGTTTCATCACATTATGTCTTTCGAATGAACTAACGATTTTTTTTCTGCAGTAGTGGGGTTTAGCTTGGGGTTAATACTGCAGCATCTTTCTATTAGGAGTGAATCAGAAGGATTTATGCTTTGCTAACATAGGACTTTGCCTCTGCTTGTTGTCGTGTTTTCTGCGAAGGGGAAAATTTTAACCGTGAAAACATGAGCTCCGGCTTTCTCTTCTCATCAGGATAGAAATAAATTAATAGGTTGGAGTCAATAGCATTAATAGCATTGTGAGCACATCTGATTTTGGTGAATTCTGTTTATGATTATAATCACCATTTCCACCACCACCACCACCATTGCCACTACCTCCACTCTCATACCTGCACCCCACACAGAAAACAAAAGTGAGTGTGAGAAATACAATTTTAACAGGGCAGGTGATTCTTCTCATCAGTCTACTAAACCTACACATTCCCTAGACTGAGTATGAACTGGAGGGAATATGGGGGACTCTTATCTGCTGGGTCCTCACCCATCTCAGTTCCTATCTGCTTCTCACAGTGTGAACATCTTACTGCACTAAATATAATTATGATATTTAAATATACCAAATAGTATTTAAATATAGTAATTTTTAATTCAACATACTTTTTAGTTTTGTTTGATAGGCTCACATTAGTTCTAAGGTTAAGCTTCTGCTGCCTTCTGGTGGCTGCTGTGGTTATCGCAGTCTATTTAGCAATGAACATAGATTGAGTTTCTAATCCCAAGGTCATATGACAAGATAATTGGAAAGAGCCTTGGGATCAGTTAACAAATCTTCTGATTAAACAGAGGAAGATACTCAGAGAAGTAAATTGACTGAAAGTAACACTGTACAAAAGAGTGCTTACTAGAAACTTAATAATAGTGATCTCATATCTTCCTTCCTTCCTTCCTTCCTTCCTTCCTTCCTTCCTTCCTTCCTTCCAAGGCACTGTTTTGGGGCAAGAATATATAAATGAAGAATGGACCTTATACATATAGTGTATGGTATAAAAAGATGTGTAAACAAATAAGTGTGATATAGGTACTGTGCTAGAAATCTGGTAGTATAAGGGCAAGATTAGTAATCTTTTGAGATGCTTAGAAAAAGTTTAGGAAAGATGAATTTCAAGTTAAATACTGAGGATGAGTGGTTGTTTACCAGTTTTATGGGGGAATGAAAAATTTTAGTCAGAGGAAAGAGCATCAGTAAGGACACAGGAGCAAGAAGTTGTAAGTCCCTTTCTTTAAAGAAGCAGGAGGAAATTAAGAGAGTGGGGAAGGAATTTCAGGTAAGATGAAAAATAAGACAGACTAGGAAGATTGTGGATAGTTTGTGCGACAATAAGTCATTTTGACTTCATTCTTTAGGAAAAGTGGTGCTGCCAATTGAAGTATTAGCAACAGTGCAGTAATATGAATGGGATGATCCTGTCATTCTAGTGGCAGTTGGTTGGACTGGAGGTGAGTAGGAGGTGGGAATGAAGCAGGAAGTCAGTTGGATGCTACTATAACCCAGGAGGCAGATGATGAAGCCTTGGATGAGAACAGGAACCAAATCTGTGTTGTGCATAGCTGTGTCCCAGGTGCTTAGAACACTGCCTGGCTCTAAGTAAATCTCTGCTGAATGAAAAGACAGTGATGGTGCAATCTCCTTATGAAAGATGGTTACTTATTTGGTAATTGTGTACACAGACAAAAGACCAGACATGAATATCTTATTTGCATACTATTTGAAAGATTGAGTTACTGTATTTGTAAAGTTTAAAACTAAATGTAGGAATAGTTAAGTAATGGAAAGCTCTGGGTAGCTGAATTTTCTAGTTTACTGAGGATGAAGTGAAGTTGCCCGGGATGATGCAATGTCCCTGTTGTATGTAATATGAATATATAATGTGATCCCTTTTATGTAAATAATGAGAACTCTCAAAAATTACTTTTTGAGAAGTTCAACACTTTACAAAGCTCAGACCTTCTGTTCAATAACCAAAATATCTTAAACCTCTTAAAGAAAGACATTAAAAATCTAGACTTAACATTGTCGCTGAGAGTGATAATTAAAGAGAAAGAAAAAATAATTTTAACTCAAAAAGTACAAAAGGAAGAAGTAGAAAGATGCTAAAAAACCTTTCAGCAAGTGAGAAAAGAGATATATTTCAGAAATCAAGTTTGGTTTAAAACCTAGGAAGCCTGAAGATGGTTCCTGACATATAAAAAGAAAAGCTTGCTATGGAAAGAAGTCAACTTTAAAAAGTAATGATAACTGTCAATCTGAAGTCAGTTCAGGATTGCTCATTGTTTAGAGGAGTGGGATGCCCACTTCACACCTTCCTCTTTGCTTTAGTCAACTGCTCATGCCTATTGGATAAAAACACAGGGATGATTTTTAACCAGATTTGACTCATGGAGCTCAAGAGAACTAGAGTCATAGTTATAGCTTTCACACAAGCAAACTCGTCAAACCAGAACTGTACTCTTTAAGTTAGATCAACATTTCAGTCAAAGTTGCTGTCTATAGAGCAGGGCTATGATAGAAATATTTCTAGTTTGTAATTTTTAATATTTTTTAAAATGATAAATTAATACAGAGTCACTATGGAAAATTTGGAAAATTAAAATTGTTAAAAAAACAAAAAATTTCTAGGATACTATTATTCAGAGGCAAACACTATTAGTATTTTAGCATATTTTTTTACACTCAGTATATACAAAGTTATTAAATAAATCTGTATTTTCCTATTACTTTATATCATAAAGAATTATTTTTGTAAATAATTATTTTTAATTGGTTACATGATGCTCCATTTATGATTATAATTTTATAAATCACTCTATTGATGGTGTTTCCACTTTTTTTTTTCTTTTTTGCATCTTTGGGCATAAACGTTTATCCAAATTTAAACTTTTTTCCTAAAAATAGATTAGTAACATGGAAATACTTACTATTCATTGTGGTAAGGCTTAGCCAACCTTGTCAAGGATTGATTGTCCTGAGACCGTGTTGCCCAGGACACAAGTGGCTGGCCCTGTCCAGTGATGGCCAATGTTATATACTCGTGTCAGCCTTATAGCTGCTCTTGAAAATAAAACTGCATGGGTGAAGGCCTGGTTATGTTAGAGCTTTCCATGAAATGATAGGACCTCATCTTAAATAGGTGGGCAGACATCATTATAACCCAAGTATTGTCCTATGAGGGAATGGGGGAGATTTTAGAGGCTATGCTCACTGACCATCCTTCAGCCTGATGACTTAAAATATTCCTCGCTGAAATACGTATTCCCTGAGTTGATTGCAATGAAATGCAAATGGAGTAAACTATATGTTCCTGAGTTCATTTAGCCAACTGCCGAACCTAGTTTTCCACAGGATAATTTATATCAAAAGGTCAGTAGGACACATATTAAAGAAAGGTATAGCTAAAGTTAAAATAGAGATATTTTCAGTGTTTGATCAGAACTGTAATATCATTCATTGTGTAGTGAAGAAAAGTC